ACTGCTCTGGGTCTTTATTATCCTCAGTGTTGTCCTTGAAAAACACTTGTGATATTCCTTGTATATATGATATATCTATATAAGTTTGATGTTTTTCTACATCTCTATATAGCTTCTGGCCATGTTTCATGCTTTTTACTGCCTGTTCTCAGCAGGTTCTCTTGCATAGCTAGATACACACATGTTGTTGGTCAAAAGAGTTCAGATCTATCTCCAATTTTCATGACCATATGGCTTCTCGTGCTGGACATAGATCCTGACATGTCTGTCAATTTCATGTTGCAGTGAAGATTGAAACTTTTGTCACAGACTCACAGGTGGACTTGTCTCCTGACTAGTATAAAGATACACATACATAAATGCATATAATGAACTTCAAGCCATTTCAAATTCTGAGGAGAATGCAAATATATTCAGCCTCAAAAACTGACGAGAGAAACAATCGGGCATAGAGGAGATGGATAAAGCATAGACCAGAAACTTCATTTGAGGATATTGTGATGATGTTGTAATATTGGAGTACGGTGTGCAATGCATAACCGGAGAGAGTATAAAGGAGCTACTAAGACAAAAGAGAAGCGGTGAAATCAAAATTACAAATGCAAAGATAGATAGTGTTAAATGTCAACAGCATTTAGTACAAAGCTTATGTAGTACAAGATGATGTATCTTTGTTGCCTCTCTGAGCACCAAAGTAACCAACATCAGCTAATCATAACTTCGCACCATCAAGGCGACCTTGAATCCGCTGAGGTGGTCCTATCTTTGCCAAATCTAGATACACTTCTTACACTCTTAGGAGTCACAGCACCAGGACTTGCTGCACGGTAACTTGCACGAAGGCTCTCATCAACAGTTGAAGATGATTTAGCTATTGCCTGTCTGAAAAACTTCCGAGCAGCTGGTGAAAGTGTTCTAACATTTGGACTTGCACTTCCACTTCGATGAGGAGATGGCAACGGAGGTTTTTTAAACATACTATTTGATCTCTCTCTCAGTTTTCGCGATGCATCCCTGGATAAAGAATGTGCCCTTAAGTCTCTTGGAGGTGCAGATGGAATGTTGTAGTGCGGTCCATCAGCACTACCACCAATATCGATCGGTGTATCCTCGGGATCTAATCGCATTGGTGTCCCTTCGATCTCACCCCATGTTATAAAGGGTGACTCATCAAGACCGGGTGCAGGAGATGGCGTTCTAACAAAACTATACCCGTTGTCTGCCCTTTTATCCGATTCAACATAGAAAGGATTCGGAGTTTTCCTAAGATCATCAAGATCATACCTCTTAGATTTGTCTCTGTCCCTACCTGAGATATGCATCGGAGAAGAACCTGCGATTGGAGTGTAGAGAATCTCAACTGAACCATCTTCTCTCGGCCTAGAATCCATTGTCTTCCCATGAAAACGCGTGTTCCCTTTCACTATCTCCTTTGTCAACCCAAGTAATCTCACAGCCCTTTCCTCCACGGTTAATGGCGCCTCACCCCGATCAGCTGGATGATACATCAGAAGATTCTTGGCTGTATACTTCCATCCTTCTAAAGTGCTCGGTGGCTGATCAGATGTACCATACCCGTCTGTAATCCTGTCTCTCTTTGCATCCTCAATCAGATTACCATCCTCCTTTTCGCCTCCAAGGAGAAAGGCGTACTTTTCCTTCTTCTTCCTATTAACCTTCTCCAAGATCTTGGAAAAGCTTTCATTATCTTCACTTGTATACCTCCTAAAGAACTCATCTAAGGACATATTAACATCTACATCTCCCTCACCATCATCACCAACTACTTCACCACCAACAGGTATATCTCTACCAGAGACTCCAGGAGTTCTAGGGGTTTTACCATCAAATTCATCTAAAGGAGTGAAATTTCTAAGAAAAGTAGATCCAGGTGTTTGAGTTTTACCCTCTGTTTCCCCAAGATGATGATGATTCGCTTTATTTCCACGCCTCTCGATAATCTTCAACTGGGCATCTCTGATTTGAATCGGGTCACGGGTTTTCACCGCTTGGATCCAATCGAGACGATCTCTAAGCTTCGATATATCTGGAAAGTAATCGCGCTCGATGATCTTCTCGATTGCTTCAACATAAGCGTCTTCATCTAGAACTCTCATCCGCTTTCTAGGGTTCCGAGGGATGATCTCTGAGGAGGAACTGCGAGGCGTCGATCGGAGACCGTCATCGGAATATGAAGACGGCGACGGAGAAGAAATCTGCCGCGGAGAATGACCTGGCGATAGAAACATCTCGAATCAGAAACTTAGGATTATCCGACGAACTTTATCGAAAATTCGGACAACTAGGGTTTGTTTCTGGCTAGACAGGAGAACCCAATAATAATGGCAGATGAATGCATCGGAGAAGATTCCTTTTTATCAATTCGTTTATACGCGTTTTAGCTTCCACAATATTATACTATTCTCCCAAAAGTTCTGATTTTTCTTGTTTCTAACCCCGTAAATCGAAATTTGCAGTTATATAACCCCACTTGGTTAGGATCTATTTGCAATTTAAATAAGTAGTCATCTATTTCGGCAATTTAAAAGCCGGTTAGAGTGAAGTACATGAAAAGTGAAAACTCTCCATTTGTGAAATCCACAATTATCTAAATCCGAGATAACTCATGAGAGAATTTGGTTAATTTTTTTAGCCTTGTTTAATACAGAAACAATCCTCTGCAAAACATATTCTACATTTGAATACAACAACAACCACAAAGGTTTCACACACAAATCCAACCTTTAATTGACACGAAGCTGAACTTGAGAATACAAACCTTACTTGACTCGAAGCTTAAAACTTGAGAATACAAACAAAGACGACAATACAAACATTCTAAGGATTGGATCTGAAAGGATTTCGCTGGTTTGATCTTGGATCTACCCGTGGCGAAGAAGCATTGTACCCATGAAGCATTTCTCTAATCTTTGAGTACATCACTGCTTGTGACGCCTCACCACCATTTCCACCACTTTCTTGCTCTTTTATCTTTTCAAACAGATACTCTTTCTCTGCCTCCGCTTCGCTCAGCCTCAGTTTCAAGTAGTTACTCGCATATTCCTCTTCCGTTTTCTCCTTTTTCGCTTTCACAATCCTCTCCAACCTCTCTGCCTCCAGTTTCGCCTCGTTTGCTTTCAACTGAAACATCTCTGCCTCTGCTAGCTTCAGCCTCACTATCCTC